GAGTGCTTAAAGCGGCAATAAAGTAATAGAAATAATCCAACTTGCTTGTGTCAATATCATCCGTTAGCCAACTCTGTCGTCTTCCGCGAGCAGTCAGACTATGAACAATGCTTACCATCGCACTGCTTAGGTAACTGGCTAGAGACAAACCTAAGTAAAGCAACGAGTTCCCTATGCTTCTCATGTTGATTGGAACTTGTTTGTTGAAGAACTCGGTGAGACCAACAATGGTGAAGACTTGATAAAATCCCATTAGTACTTGTTGCGGGGTTAGCCAGAAAACCGATATGTTTACCCCAGTAAGAGATAAATCTCTTCTCTTTCGCTCCACGATACCCGATATGAACATCGTCGAGATGGAGAGAATATTCCCAATGCCGACTTTTTGAAGTAACGAGATGCCTCCTTCTTGTTTTGTAATGTTTTCAATGTGTCGGACCAAAACGGTTTCATAGAAGGGAAGCCATATGCCTATGGTTAATAATGATATGACGGTTATAGAAGCAGGAGGGATTAGGTAAGAAGTGCCTGGAAATTGGAGGTCCATTTTTAGTGCTTGTGAAACTGTAAAAGTTTGTTGTTGGTTCATAGCCAAAAATCCAATAATGCTCGAAACAAATATTGGAATAATGCTGATTATAGACTTCATGTCCTCTATCTGTCTCACTGTGCAAATTCTCCATTCCTCGTTTTCAGCTTCATCGTTGTTCATCACTATCACAGCTTTGTTCAAAAATCTGGAACCAACCATAAAAGAAAAACTTAGTAACCACATTAAGTGGCATATTGACCTACAACGATAATTATCTCCATTTCATTATAAGTATCTTATTAGATTTTATCTCTATACTTATTACCTATACTTTCACCCAAAAAACTTTAAAAACTATCTTCTATATTGACATTTTCATGATAATTAAGATTCATGTTAGAAATTCTTTTATACCCCAGCAAAAACAAGTTAACTTTTTTTTTTTGTCAGTCTACAACAAGTTAACTATTAGTACTATTTCTTGTTTACTTGAAGTTAAATTAGGTGCTTATACCAAATTTAAATTGGAATTCAAAACGACACTTTTTAAAATAACAATGTTGAAAACAACATAATTTGAAATGGAGAAACGGAGTGAGAGCATAATTATATTTTACCTGAATTGATCAGTGAGTACGAGTTTATTTGATTGTAAATCTGTCTCTAGTAAGGGTCGATAATAGTCAATCCCAGAAGGAAACCGTACATTGCGTTTCTTATAAGCAGCCACAAGAACCTTAAAAATTCCAGAGAACACACTTCCTTCGGGTTTGACAAAGACATAAAACCGAGTTCCCACAAAAAGCAGAAGAAGCGCAAACAAATTGAGAACGGTCGGGATAGCGAATCCAATGGCCCAACTGATGTTGTTCTGTACGTACAACACTAGTGTCATTGAAACTAACTGCACGATTGTATGAGTGGTATAGTACCAGCTAAAGAAGCTTCTACTTCCTTCTCTTCCTTCTTCAGTCGAATCATCGAACTGATCGAGACTGAAAGGAACACTGCATGAGCGGATTCCTCCTGTTCCGACTGATAACAAGAAGAGTCCTGAGAGTAAAACGTATAACTGCGAATTGCTATAGCGAATACATTTTCCAGTGATTTGATCGGCAGTGCAAGGTGGTGGTTGTAGATTAGGGATCAGAGACGTGAAAGTCAACATCAACATGCCCTGTTGAAGATTTAACTCTTGTCACGTTACTTAACATTGATACCAAAAAAAAAAAAAAAACAAACTCTTGTAACTTTCCAAACAAAAGAATGGCCTCATTTGTATCAAACTTTAATGGGATTATTGTTCATTTTGCCCTTTTTTACCAAAATCTTTTGAAAATGCCATTTTTGCAAAAATCTTATGGATTTGCCATTTTCTAACACTTAAAAATGTACGTATTTCGGATTTTTTTTGGTAAAAATACGTAGTTTATACAAAATACTAAACCCTAAGAACAACCACAACCGACTAAACCCAAACATAACGAATAAAACGCATGTTTCCGTAGCCTGAAAAAGGGCAAAATCCATAAACTATTCAAAAAAGGACAAAATCCACAAATGCCATCACAAAAAATGGCAAATCCATAATTGATTCAACTTTAATTTATGTGTTTGTGTTTGCATTTACATGTGAAAAAGAAAAAAAAAAAAACAAATTTTCATTTATATGTAAAAACTAAATTTTAGTTTTTCATAAAATATTTTTTATTGCAAAGAGTATATGTATAAAACCAAATGCTGGTTTTCTTTTAAAAAATGCTAAAAAGTTGGGTTCATTTGACATAATACACAAGAAATGTTAAAGCAAACGCAACCGTAAACAAAGTAACAAACAATTAAGATCATATGACGACATGTCACATGAAAACTCACATCAATTAAAATATCAGAAAACTGTTTTACGGAAAACAAGTAAAAAAAGATTACCAACAACTCAGCGATGGAACCGAAGACAATGGTATTAAATTTTCCGGCGTATGAGTCGGAGATGAAAGCTCCGATGATAGGAGCAAAGTTGGTGAGAGCAGACCAAGTGTTGATTAGAGTGGCAGCTTGAACTTGGTCCATATGATACTCTCTTACCATATACACCATGAAATTGGCCATCAATCCGAATGTCGCAAGCCTCTCCAATGTCTCATTCCCTACATCATCAATATAATAAGCCGCATCTCATATTTACAAAAACAATGATCTATAATATGGGCAGTGATTATACATACCTATGATATAAGGCATCGCTTTCCAACCAAGAGGCTTCCTTTGTCTCGTCGTTAAATCCGAAATTGTCCCTTTCTCATTATCCATGCTTTTTCTAAACTCTTCTAGTAGTACTCGTTTTTTTTGTATTGAGGCAGATGAGTTCATGTTCTAATAGAAGTAAAAAGATGGCTTAATTTATATATAGAATAAACTAAGACAAGACGTGGACATAATCTCAACACAAGATAGTAGAAGATATGAGATATATATTTACACAAATTTCTTGCCAAATCATGAAATGAATAAAATTAAGATAAGTGGGAGTTAAATGCTCAATCAATAACATTAGGCTATGTGTCACACAAGATCTTTTATTAAATAAAAGAAAGTATTTTAAATTTTTTTAGCAATATATAGTAATAGTCAGCAAATAAAGTGGTGATGACAACAAATTAATAAAAACATTAAGAGAGTTTAAAACTAATAAAAGTATTAGGAGAAAAGGAAAAAAAAAACCTGACAATAATGAAATATAGAAAAATAAAAATCAGAAATAAAAATGTATTGTGGAAAATATAAACGTTTTCTTATATCCCCTGATTTGTTTTTCTTTTTGGTTATTCTAATCCCATGATTATATTTATACGATAAATTAATAAAACAACATCTCCGATTCTGAGGGCGTGGGGTTCAAGCATAATAGACCTATATACGAAAGCAACATTTCCAAAAACCTATCATTTTATACAGATTCACAATGGGACGCAGAAGCTCTGGTGGTAAGTTTTCAGAATCATTTCGTTTCCAAAGTTGTTCTTAATTTTGCAATCCTTCAGTTCTAGGGTTCCTGCTTTTCTACAATTTCGCTCTGTTTTGTTAAGATCTGTGGCCTTTGTGTTTCAATTTTGTACCTCTATTTCTCTCTCTCTCTTTTTTTTTTTTTTTTTTTTGATTGAATCGGAGATTTTTTATTTGGCCTATAGTCCCACTAAAAACACACATTTGAGAGTTAACCCTAATTCTTTTTTAAGAATCCCTAATTTTTGCTGGTCCTTAATTAGTTATTAATTTTTGAGTAATTCGATTATACCATTTGGATGCAGGAGGAAGAAGATCATATTCAACTGGATCAAGATGGCCGAAATTTCTCAAGAAATCGTCTCCTAAGCCTAGTAAGAAAAACACTTCTAAGTGACATTGAATAAAATCAAAATTATAGAAATTTTACAGTATATATTATGATCTGTAATGTTTAATTTATATGCAGCTAAAGCTAAAGATGAGAAAGCACCTCCTCCTGAAAAAGTTGAGACTACTCATAGTAGATTCTACTTTGAAAGCTTTAGGTCATCCATAGCTGGTGGTATAATCTTAAGGACAATTCTCTAAAGTATCTTTGCATTTGATCTATTTATTTTTAATATTGTTAATCTCTTGGGGAAACTAGGTTTTCGTTGGGGGTTTGGAAATGCGTTGGGACACAGATATGCTGAATTAATTTTTGGTCCTCGAACCATTAGACGAGAAATTGTATTACCAGAAAAAGTGAAAGAAGTTGCTTTGGTTTCTGCCAAGGATGATAACGAAAAACTCAAGGATTACTCTGAAACATGCGGCATTAGCTATAATGCATTTCAAGACGTAAGACTCCCATAATCCATCATTTAGTACTACTTATTATCTTTTTGATGGAATCTTCCTTAATTATGAATCATTTGCAAAATAGTTTGCTTAATTTGTTTATTCTTGATGATGTTGCAGTGCTTGAATGTTGAAGGGAATAATCTAAGCAAATGTCATCTCTTCATGGATTCGCTGTTTGAATGCAAGAGGAATTCCAGTTCCTTCAACTTCTAAGTTCTTCTTTATTTATTAGTCTTTTTCGAATAAAATAACAAACCACAAAACAACTTTTATTTGGTTTCCACTCATTCTTTTTTGATGTTTGTTTTTTTTTTGGATGATTAATCTCCAAGTCTATGAATTATCGTTTGTTTCGGATAACAAATTGTCAGATGATTCGAGTGAAATTGGTCCTTACAAGTAGTAGTTTTTTCGTTTGGGCTAGAGTAGAAATAAGTAACTTTTGGGATGGGCCTGCTTTGAATTGGCCCAAGTTTGTTGGATTTCGGCCTTAACGCAATCATAATTTGAAAATAATCAATTAAAAGGACGAAAGAATCGATCGTTCTGCGTTACCATTGATATTTTGTTAAATTATTACAACTTGTTTATTACATTATAAAATTCGAAAATTATGAACTAGAGAAACGAAAAATAATATTAAATTAACGATAAGAAAGCAAAACAAATAATACAAATTATGTGAACAACTAAATTTACAAAGGGAAAAATGTCATAAAAGACAAATTTACAAAAGAATAAATGTAAAAGAAAATATGATCTTACGATCGAATGGTACAGGGAAAACTTCCTCCTGAGCTTTACTCGCATCCCTTAAGCCACTCTCTCGCAGCAACTGCTTAATCAGACTGTAACAAATGATATGTGATTAAGCACAAATTTCAAACCAATATTCCTATCTGCACTGATATTCAACTTTGAGCTGTAAGATTTGGTAAATGAGCAAAAACATACTTGGAAAACTATGTGTTCTGGCTTTCTGCAAGCAAATAACACGATCTTGTTCAGCCCATCCGGCTTCTATAAGAATCTAAAACAATACAGACAGAGAGCTATCAAGAGAGAGCAATATTATCTCAGCAAGTTAAAGAAACGTACCAAGACCACATATCATGACAAAACTAAAGAGAGAAAAACATGACTCGTACTCCAAATTTTTGCATCCAGAATTTGTTGAACTTGTTATTGAGTACGTTTTGATTAGGATTGTGGTTTTGGTGTTTCGTGTATATATCTGTGTACGTGTGGTTATGCTTGTGTATCATTTTGTTTGAGTTTATGATTTTGTATTCGTGACATTTGTGGTAAATTTCGTGTGTGTGTTTGTATTTTTTTTTTTTTGGGATTATGGTTTTGTTGTTTTGTATTTTCTCGTGACAGATGTCTGTGTTCTAAATTTTTTCTATGTTGTATGTTTGTGTGATGAATGATGTCAGTGAAAATATATGTGATGCTGAGAAAATTTTCGATAGCGGAGAAGACTTATAATAAAGAGACAAGAACACTTAGCTTTTCTGTAGTGGAAATTCCAAAATCCCATTGCAATAGCTGTAAGAAGACTGCAAGCTTCAAAGACAATGAAGAGTTACTGTGAAAACTTTAAGCACTGATATTCAAACTTGAGCTGTAAGATTTGGTAGAGGTAAGAAAACAAACTTGGAAGTAAGGTGTTTATGCTTTCTACGAGAAATAACACGGTCTTCTTCTGCCCCCATCTAGCTTCTTAAAGTTACCAAAGCTGATATAGACAAAGAAGTATTTATGAAAGCAAAATACAAGAAGATTTAGCTAGCCATTGAGTGAATCTAGTTTTAGCAATCTAGACAATGATAAGTGTTGTCTCCAAATTTTCAAGAAGAAACCTGAGGAATCTGGATTCGTTCTCTGTTTTACAGATGACAATGGTGGTCATGAGAGATATAACCTCTTCTCTAGAATATTTGAACCTGAAACAATAAGAAACAAAATTAGACTTATAGCTATCGGACGAGTACATCTCTCTTGAGCTTCATCTACCTCAAAAACATTGCAGAATGAAAAATAAAAGAGTGTTTACTAATACTAATACTCTTATTGATAATCTGAATGAGATTGTGTTGCAACAAAGTCCTTACATATACCATGTCGAGAGAGGATCCTCCATTATATCTAGCAATACTACAATGTGAGAACCTTCACACTAGT